AAGACTCCAGAAATGGAATCATCATAGGGTATAAATTGTTCTACAAAGAGAAAGGCTCTTCAGGGGCAGGAAGCTCGAAGCTCATTAACAGTCAGGCAACTCGCTCTCAAGAGGTCACTGGGCTTGATAAGTACACAGATTATGAATTTCAAATTTTGGCATTCACTTCTGTTGGGGATGGACCAAAAAGTACAGTTGTTTATGAGAAAACAAAGGAGGCTGGTAAGAAATAGGATTTTACCTAAGTCCTATTTCCATGAAACTCAGAAAAACATGGATGCCACAGATGTCTCTGAGATGGTATTCCGCCTAAAGAGAGATCAAGCAGTCTTGAGAAAACTTATATAACTTAATTGTTTGCTTGTCAGGTCTGTGATGTGATAGCTATATCTCAACACAATCAACATTCCAAAGTCAAAATTTTATCTCAGGTGTTTATGGCTTCCTAAATTTTATAAAAACACACCGGCCCCCGTACATGCATGGTTGTAATGTTACAACATACCTTATTGTTAGCTATTAATCATATGATTTTCAAAAATCGTGAAGTAAGAGACCCGCGTAAAACTCTTTTCGCGAGCATTAAGCACGCAAAATTTAATATAACGACTAACAGCTAGGGAAAGCGCTACGTTACCAAAAGGTAGGAGAAAACAGGAGTCGCTGGGGTAGGAAAGGGTGAGTGAGCTCCTCCCGAGGATCTGTTTGAAGAAATTGACCATATCCTTAAGCTGTAAGCGCAAATAGACGGTGTCATGTACTCATGTACGCACTGCTTTGTTGCAAAGGTACATGTTAAACTGTTTTCAGTTTTGTTTTGTTATAGTAATTTGTTGTTCAGTGCTATTGGAAATTACTGTTTCGGAAAATTAAAATCAGTTTTGCTGACTCTGAGACTGTTTATTATGTTATTGCATTTACAACTCAAACATGTTTAAATCTGAATTTGCCTCCTTCCCAAGGAGGCATTAATATCTTTCTGGATGAACACTTCTTAGTTGTAGCTGCAGGTTGGCTATTTACAGAGGCTGTAGTAAAAAGGAAAATAACACTCAGTCAGATTCATTATTTAAAGATAATAATTGAAATATGACTGCTCTATTGCAGCTCCTTCGCAACCTCCCTCTCAGTTTAATGTCACTGTGGAATCTTCAACCAGTATCACAGTATCATGGCGGTTACCACCAGAAGGCTCCAGACATGGAATCATCAAAGGATATAAACTGTTCTA